ACAGTGGATTATGTCACAGATCGTGTGTGGCCTGCAAAGCCTGAAATATTCACTACCTGGCTCCCTACAAAAACGTTTGCCAGGCTCGCTCTGTTGATCTGATTCCATTTCATTCCATTCCGTTCCATTCAAAAGTGCTGGCTGCAACTTACTCAGTTTACTTCCGTGACCTGCTGATCAGCCGCAAACTTCAGCTGGAAAAACTCCGAATTCAAGTTAGCTTTAGTGTTTTCACCAGATGGAAGGATGAATGAGTGAACCTTATCCATGTGACACACCTTGGCCAAGCACCGGCCCCTCCTGGAGTCTCAGATTCCTCAGCTGAGGCTGGGACCGCCCCTGCTTGCCTCTCCAGCTTGTGCCTCCAGGGTCCTGTCCAGGATGCTCTCTAAGGAGGTGTATCTCAAGGAGCTGCTGGACCCTCAGCCACGGAGGAGCCCACACCTGAATGCCTGGCCCAGGGCCTGGCCCGGAGGAGGGGGTCCATCGAGACCTCTCTTTAATGACAGTGACAGGAGAATGGTACCTACAGCCCTCCATGGCTGGACCCGGCCCCCTCTGCAACTGGACCCCCCCTCCCTCTGGCCACACAGTCACTCATGCCCTTTCCACTAGGTCATACCCTCCCCTCCTCCTGTAGACGCTCCCACGACTGCCACCTCCGCCTGACAAAATCCTGAGCCCGATCCCTCTGATGTGGCTCCACTCAGATGTCTCTACCCTGCAGCCCTGGCAAATCACCAACAGAATTTCTATTTCTAGGCACAGTCTCCGAAACTTTGCGTTCACATCCTGGCTCAGATGCTGTGAGCTTCTGGGCAGGCATGGTCCTTTCTGGGCCTCGGTTCCCTTGTCTGGGAAATGGGGGCCACACGAAGCAGTGGTGGAGTGAGGATTCACAGACCCACCTGTGGTGCTCCTGGCACGTGGCCAGTCCTTCCTTGGTGGCCTCAAGGACCTCCTTTGGTGGATGGGCAGGGGGTTGGATGCTTTCCACCCACAGGAGAGGAAGGCGGGTTCTTTGGGGTCTGGGACAGTGTGAGGTGAAAGCCGCACCTCCTCACACCCACGCTTGGCTTAGAAGTGCCACAGAGGAGAAGGTGGGCGGACAGACCATGGCTGACTTACCACCTACTATGTGCTGAGTGTTCTATTTTCAATTTCCAACCAGCCCTGATCTTATGAAGAAACCCAGGCAGCATTTTCCGAAGCCACAGCACCATTTCCCTCAGCTCTCGGGCTCCAGTTATCATCCTTGCTCTGCCCTGTAGGAATCAGTTTCCCTTTCAAACCATCCCTGCATCCGCACCTGGCTTCTCCTGGACATCAGCACTCAGGGAACACACCTCGTCCTGTGCCCAGGCATGGCCCTACCTGGAGACAAGACACCCGACCCTCCCCTCTCTGCCCTGCTTGCCCAGGTCTTCCTGTATCTGTCTGTGCAGGGGCTGCCTGCCTGGCCCTGAATGTGGGCTTTGCAATTTACATGGAGGTATTGTATTCATTCCACACAACAGGCCTCAGGAGTGGGCGCTGCCTCTGTCATTTTCTGTTATTTTAAGATGAAGAAACAGAGGCTCAGAGAGAGGAGAACGTTTTTCTCAGGAGGACACACAGCGAGCATGAAGTAGAGGTGAGGTCCAGCCTACGCGTCCCTCTTGGCAGTCCTGGTCACACCCACCCTGAGAAGGGAAAGTGTTCGAATGCCTGTGGGCACCTTCCTTCTGGGACTGGGGTCAGTCTTCCCAACTGCTCACAGAGGTAGGCTCAGGAATTCCCATTTCATGCATGTGGAAACCGCAGATGAGAGACAGCATGTGGCCAGCTAGTCATATAGGCAGGGCGAGAGAGGGTTCAGGATTTGAACCCAGCGCTACCTGAAATCCAGGGCTCCTGATCTGCCTCAGTTTCCTCAGGTCTAGAAGGGTCTAAAAGCTACATGTGGCTGTGGGTCTCCCTCCCCAGCGGGCCTTGGGTGTCAGGGACAGTCAGTTGCAGGCTGGCTTCCCCTCCTTGCCTGGGCGAAACCCCAGATCCAGAGCCCCTCACTCTGCTCGACTGTCCCATTGCATGCTTCCAAAGAAATGTTCCCATCTGCTTCTGATTCATTTACACACAATTAATCAAAATGTTGTTTTGTAAGAGACACTCGAAACTCCAAGAAGCTTTCTCAAGGCTTTTCTTTCGTTCTTTCTTAGAAACAGGAAAATTGGGTTTCATCAAAAGGAAGTGATGCTGGAGCCCGAGGAAGCCTGGGGACTGAGGAGCCAGCCCCAAGGGTGAGGCTCGGACTGGGCAACTGCTGGGCCCAGCTGGTCTTTCTTCCTGACCTCGCAGACCAGGTTAGAGGCGGAGGCCAAGGACTGGACTTGGGGGGAAGCTGAAGAAGGGGGAGAAGGATCATCCCTCCATATTGGCAGGTTTGCTTACTTCAGTATCCCCAAGGTCCCCAACACAGATCTTGGCTCAGAGGCTGCCCTGTGACACTTGTCAAATGAACAAATGAATGAATGAATAAATGAATAAAGCACTGCCAAAACTTAGGTATCTTCAGGACACATTCTCCTGCCAAGATTAGAGAAGACAGTCAAGGCAGGTAGGACATTGGGGGATTGTGTGCAGAACTGTACAAGCAGATACCATAGAAGAAATGGTCCCTAAAGTGGAATAAGTTTGGGACAGGTCACACTCTCTGTTCCCACCTCTTTCCCATGCTCTGACAAGTCCTGCAGCCAAGACCTCTAAGTCCAGCACTTTCTAAATCTATTTGGCCAGGACTTCTATGGCCACCTTGCAAAGTATGCTGTAGGAATGGTTTGTCTAGATCCCCCACCCCACCCCAGTACCAGTGGGTGAAACTGAGGCAGGAGAAGGAAATCCACTCACTCAAGGTTACACAGCACAACCAGGTCAGGGTGGGAGTGAAATCTGAGGCTGCCTCCGTTGGAACTGACTAATAAACAGAGGACCCAGCCTTTCTTCTGGACAGGCATGTGTCCTACCCAAGGCAAGAGACCAATGATGGGGGTGGGTGGTTGCTGAGGGCCCCTCAACAAGTTGGGGTCATGTAAGGAGTAGCTATCTCCCCATCTCCTCACTGAGCTCCTGGGGAGGTGGTGGTAGTGAGTTCCGGACTGGGGGAGGGGTTTGAATTTTCCTTTTTCTTTCTTTTCATCTTTTTAGAACTGGGAATCATCTTAAAGAACTTTTAAGCCAGCCCCTCTACAGATGGGGAAACCGATACTGAGAAGGGAAAACCAGGACACCTCAGAAGCCACCTTCACTGTATTATGTCAGACAGACTGGGATTCAAGCCTGCCATATCACTCACCTGCTGTGAAACCTTGGACAAGCCAGTTTCCCTCTCTGAACCTCAGTTCCCTCATTCAGGAAAAAAGCATCTCTTCTCTCCCTCCCTTCGGCTGTTGTGAGTGGCCAGGGACACAGTGGACAGGATGTGAGAATAATGAATACTTACGCACACCCACAAGAGCCTGCGTATTCAGCCACTCATTCACCATACACACACCAACTCATTTAGTCTGGCCCGCAGTCCTGATGAGTTGGGTACTTAAGATTATCATTCCCGTTGGAAAGATGAGTCAAGGAGGGAAGAGTGTTTTGTTCTGTTGGTCTGTTTTAGAACTGAAGAGAATCTTACAGATCTTCTAAGGGATCCTCAGATGGGTGAGTGAAGCAAAGTGACTTCCCCAAGGTTATTCAGCTGGAAACTGGGGAAGCCGCGATTTGAACTCAAGTAATTGGCTCCAGAGCCCATGCTCCTAACTACTGAACAAGAGCCATTCACAGAGGTGTGCCCCCATGCTGTCCCCGACCTCAGCTCAGCTGAAGCCCACCACCTCTCCACTCCCTTGTCTTGCTGTCACAGCAGGGTAGGAGCCCCTGAGGCCAGGGTCCCCGTACCCCATCTGTCCCACCTCCCAATCCCTGCCCAACCCAGGCAGGACTGTGTTCATGTGGGGTCCTCACTCAAGTGGAAGCCCGCAGAGGGCAAGCCCTCCTCTTGCTTTCTCCTATTCTCCTATCAGACCCATCCCCAGAACTGGAAGGAATCCACCAGGCTTCCTCTCACCCACTGGACAGTTTAGCAAAGTGACATAACCTGTCTGAGCCTTGGCACCCCAGCTTTATGGAATAGGATAGGGATGTGGTTGCCGTCTGATGAGATGGTACGTGGAAAACTGTTGGCACCATAACCAGCATCTGGCAGTCGATTCCCAGACGCTAAGGGGTACTTGCTCACTTGCCGGTCCCCTGTCACCCTTGGCACGGGCTGTGCCAACCCCTGCTCTGGAGTGACAGCCTCAGACCCACCTCCTAGGACACTCTGAGGTCTCCGCAAGCTGTGCAGAGGACCCTTGGGGCAGAGTGCATGTGGCCCCCGGGACACTTATAATCTGAACCTTGGTTCGTCTTAGTGACCTGAGCAGGTCAAGATGGAAAAACTGTGGCTCTCCGAGGGGCTGGACTTTCCAGATACTTCCTAGAGGAAGTGGACTTGAACTCAGTTCGCGGGCCTGGGGAGCTCATCAGAAGGGCCCAAGAAGATCACTGCCCTCTGGAAGGCAACACCTGAGTCGAGTCAATGATGGGGCCCAGGCCAGGGCTTTATCACCTCCTGGCTCAGTGTGGATACTTGGGATGGCTTCCAAGCCACCAGTCCTGTCTCCTAGTCCCCGCGTTTTCCAGGCTGGCCCTTGAGGCGTCTGTCCCGCGCGGACCCATCCTTCCTGCCACACCCAGCAACGTGGCTACTCTGGGGAGATCCCTGCTGGCCTCCTCCTTCCTCGGAGAGCTTGCTCGGTCCAGAAACCTCAGTGGATCTCCTACTGGGTGCCCCGAAGGCTTAGTCGCCCCATCTGTAAAGTGGACTGGCACCTCTTCGGAGCAACGCATGGCCCGGGTGAAGAGGCCCAAGGGCCAACTCCGGCTCCGCCCGCAGCACCCGCCCGGCCACCCTGCCGGACCGTCGCTCGTACCTTGCTTCTTCCTGCGGTTCAGGGCAAGCATGTCCACGGCGTGGGCGACGAGCAGCAGCAGGCAGAGTGGCGCCCGCATCTGGGCAGCCGGGTCCGGGCGGGCGCGCGGGGCTCCTGGCACCCAG